TTCTATACCTTATCAGTTAAGATCAGGAAATACCAAAGCCACAACAACAATGAAAAGAACAAAAAGAGCAAATGACTTTTTTACTTTTAGGTATTCGTAGACTTAACTGTTATTGTAATACTTACTAAAATTATTCTAATTCTTAAGACTTATTATTGTAAATAGACTTTATTATTGGTATCTAGTAAGATTCTTTTTAATATCCTTGTAAAATTACACTGTTTATTCAGTTTTTTTAACTGCCAGAAGTGCTAATAAACTACCATCATCATCATCATCATCAAGGGGCAGGTTATAACCCTGGCAAGCACCATTCTGCTAGATACATACAAGAATATGACGATTTTTTTCTTAGTGCATCACCCTTTCCTTGTTGAAGTGAAAAAATAAAATGAAAACCTGAAAAAATACTTAGGAGAGGGAGGCATATCTCAAATTATTTCCTGTTAGAGGAAGTGGATCTTGAGCCATTTTGCTGATCCTGTACAAGTTGCCTTAGTCTGCTACACTGAAGCACAGTTAATTAACCTTACCTGCTCTCTTGCTGCACAGGACTCACAAATGTGATCACAGTTGATCTTCATTCTAAGGAGATTCAGGGTTTTTATGACGCTCCAGTTGACAATTTGAGGGCCTCACCATTTCTAGTCCATTATATCACAGAAAAGGTACTTATTAGAATGCCATTTACAAATGATGGTGGAAAGTTAATTTAGTATTGATTTACCACATGCCTTCAGGTGAGAAATCAACAAATTTTCAATCACAGTCTCTTGAATTAATTTTCAGCAACTTGTTGATGATGATAATGAAGACACAGAATTTAGATTCAAGTCTGGAATCTGTGGGCAAAATTATTTACTATAAAGGGCAAGGAAAAAATTCTTTTACACTCAGTTTGTTGCTTTTTTGGTTGATATTTATATTATTTTTCAACAGCAGGTTGTTTGAGTAAGCATTTGAGGCTTGTCAGAGAGTTTGAGCATTTGAATGTCTTTGATTTGGTGGCTATTTATTTTAATTCAAGGTTGCTGACTATAGAAATGCAGTTATAGTTGCAAGGAATCCAGGTTCAGCCATCAGGTAATAGAGTAAATGTAACTAACTTTTCAAAAATTCTGTAAAAGTTTTGATATTATGTTGGACACCTTTACCAGACAAAAAGTTTCCTATCCAAACAAATGTCAAGCATACAAAATATTTCTTTGCAGACAGTCAAAGGCTTGTTATAGGTATGATGTATTTGAGGAATAGCCTTGCTTCTTAACATGCCAAACAACAGTGATAAACTCACTAAATTTGATGGTTTTATCCTTTAAGGGCCACTTCTTTTGCTGAGCGTCTACGGCTTGGATTGGCTGTGATACATGGTGAACAAAAGGAGGTGGAAAGTGAGCAACTTGATGGCCGTCAGTCTCCACCTCCTACATTAGCTGAGGGACGTCGTTTTGCATCTGTCAGTATGGACAGCATGTCTCTACCAGGTAAGCTTTGGAAGGTATACATGTAAATCATCAACTTGGCTTGGTTGTCAGAAAATCTGACTCTTATAGTCAATTTCTATTCTGATTTGTTTGTATATTTACTTGAAATTAAATATCCACTACTATCACAGAGACTGAGGTGAGTAATTGTTTTAGAATATACCACACAAATATTAAAACTAGTTTATTTCTTTCAATATACTGAAAAATGGTTGGAAATTAAATTCTTGATGCATGACTTTATTTCTTCGGCTGCCTAGAGATGAGTGGTACTTGCTAGTCACTTCTGAACTAGCCAATCGGCATGCATGGAATCCACTATTTGTTGTGTCTTTTGCAGGATTTCTTCCCAAAGCTAAACCTCCAATCAATGTTGTGGGTGATGTAGGAGGCAAGATTGCCATCATTGTGGTAAGATTTGAGTGATTTTTTTTTTCTTCATTGTAGTTAACTGTATGTTTGAGTGGTTCAGAGTTGTTATCGCATTGTTTTCCATCCGTACTGTTAATTGTTCAATTAATTTAAAAATCAATAGCACTCATTACAACAACAAAACCTGAGCTAATATATTTGGTACATCAACAATATTGGAGTTCTTTCCTTGATCACTGCCAACCGCTTAGGCAAAACATTTCCTCTTGTATTTACTTTCTCCACTGAGGAGTAGAAATTAGTCAGGCAAAATGTTACCTCTTTTGGCCCCTAAGATTGACTAGCATCTAATTTCTCCTTACAATTCCCCCACTGAAGCACACATTAAGGGTCACGAGAATAACGGAAATGGTCTCTGGCTAAAGACGCTCTTGATTGTTAAATGAATTCTCCTTAGCAGCGCCTTAGGAATGTATAGAGAACAGTATGGAGAATGTGCAGACTGATGTTACGGTGGGAAGGGTTAAGAAAATTGTGCGAAGTTAAGGGGTGAACTTTTAATGGACTTACATTCACTGCAGGGTATTTAAAAGATTCATAGTTGCTTGATGGTATATGGTATAGAAATTAGATTGGTTAGGGCAGTAACAGGTACAACCCAATCTTTGATGCCAACTCTCCTTCTCCTTATTGGAGATGTGAACATTTGATGTAGCTTGTTAAAACGTATTTTTCAATGTGCGTGTATATTTACAATGAGTAATGGTGGTTACCCAATAGTTTGTTTATTTTGCTGCGGGTCCTACGTTTTGATTTACGCTATACTTCACCTTGTAATTTTACTTTATTTTTTTTATTTTATTTAGTACAGTTTCTCCAAATCTAGATTAAGTTAAATTACTAAAGAGATGCATAAATAAATACATAGACATAAACATAAACAGAATAAATAAATGATGATGGAGAGGCAGCATCCAAAAGCGTCTCAGACATCATACGAGGGATGCTCACCAGTAAGATATAATATTAAAAAACAGTTATCATAGTATAGAGTTTGATATCTAAGTATTACATTGAATCAAATCAAAAAATTCTAAGTATTACCAAGGAATGAAGTAACGTTATGTTTAAGGCTAGAAATACTAGCATAATCCTTTATATTATTTGGAAGACTGTTCCATTCATTCACAACACGGATAAAAAAGCTATATTTAAAAATATTTGTTCTACTGTACATGCTGACTAGGTCAAGAGAATCATTCTTCCTTAAGTTATAATCTACACTACAAACTCTACAGAAAAGCAACTTATCAGAAATATCCATATCATAATGCCCATTCATTGAATTAAATAAAAAAACAACATCCCTGATGTATCTTCTATCAAATACGCTGTAATTTTAATTTCTTTAATCTAACATCATAATCCTCATCAGAGTTAAGAATAAACTTAGTTGCCCTCCTCTGAATTGCCTCTAATTTATTGATATTGCGTTGTGTATGAGGATTCCAGGTTTCACATGAATACTCGAGCAGGGGTCTGACAAGACTGCAGTATAATGTTTTCAATGTAGTGATATCTTTCAAATCTCTACATGTTCTTTTCACCAAACCAAGAATCTTATTAGCCTTAGCACATACAGAATCTACGTGTGCATTCCATGATAAACTGGAGCTGGTGAGAAGACCTAAATCCCTATGTATATGTACACTTTCTAAGCTCTGACCGTTTAGGTAATAGTCCCCAACTAAAGGACTCTTTTTCATAGTAATTCTCATGATCTTAAAGTTATAACCCCTGGTAGATCATTGATATAAATAATAAAGAATAAAGGTCCCAACAAGGAACCTTGAGGTACTCCAGAGGTAATTGTCACCCAGTCAGATAATTCCCCCTTTACAACAACTCTCTGCTTACGATCAGTGAGATAGTCTTTACACCATTCCAGAAGACGCCCACGGACTCCATACTTAAATAATTTAGTCAAGAGAATATTATGATTTACGATATGAAGAAATGTTTTCTTGCTTCATCTGACTAGCCATGAACACGTTTCTAAATCAGGCCAAATGGTCAAGTCTGAAAGGTGTTGTATACGAACTTGCAGGATGATATGATAGACGAAGCCGAGTCATTCGTAAATGCCGCCAAGCACCTGAAGGATCGTGGGGCGTATAAGATTTTAGTGATGGTCACTCATGGCCTGTTGTCAGCGGATGCGCCAGAACTGATTGAAGAATCCGTTATTGATGAGGTAAAGTACAGCTTTTGTGGTGTATGTGATGTCAATAAGAGTTACTTATCAGTATTTGTGAGATGTAAATCCCTTGTACGGCATTTAAACCGTCACCGTGCTAAAGCACCGCTTTGAAGAATGTTTTGAGGATTATAGAGTCAACACTTTTTTTTGAATGAAGGAACAACAGGTACATTGCGTGCGCAAGCATATGAGCGAACGTTCTGTGTGTCATTTTAAGACAGCTTCAACCTGAAATATCATTTCTTTTCTCGTTTGACGAAAGATGATATTTCCACAGCCACTTCACGCGCGCGACGTAACTCGTGTCCCCTCATTTAGTCAAATCACATTACCATCTCAGACGCTTGGTCAAATTCACTGACTACTATGATTGCATTCTCACCAGAGTAACCTACTGTGTTATTTCCACTATGCACAGAGCTCTCAGATTATCAGATTGCTTTCGTGAACATCCGAGAGACACAAAACAACGAGATAGATGCCTCCAGCCCGTTTTGAAACATTTTAAAGCCATGAATTAAAACAATTTTTTTATTTAAACATATTTATTGAACCAAGTTTACCCTAAGAGTAAAATTACTCATCGAGAGGGTTCACTTCGAAATACCACTGAATATAAAAAAAAAGTTACAGAAAATAATTCATAATCAAAGCGGTACCAAAACAAACAATAGGGCATATAAGCAGAGCTGACTGATGGTAAATACACATTTAAGTGCTTATTTACTTAAGTAAAACAGTTGAGAGGATAGCTACAATAGGAGAGTCAAAGTTTGAATGAAAACATTTGTATGAGTTTGAAAGAAAGAAACTTTTAACTTTTGTGACCAGATATGAACTTACGTCTTACAATCTTATTCCCACTAGGTTGTTATCACCAACACAGTGTCTCACGACACGAAGATGACCCGCTGTAGTAAAATCAGAACGGTGGATATCAGCTCACTTTTGGCCGAAGCCATCCGCCGAATTCACAATGGCGAGTCAATGGGTTATCTGTTTAGAAATGTTCCTTTGGAGGATTAGGCTAGCTGGCGTTTTTAACTGGGTCTGTTGTAAAGTTAGGTTTGGTTGACTGATTTAGACATTTCAAACATAACTTATTGTAAAAATAACGTGAGTGCGTTTAGCAAACGAACAGCCTCAAATCTATTTGGTTATGTGGTAAAGTGCAGTTGGTGGTCGTGATATTAAGCACTGGTATTTGTACACCACTTGGCCACAAACACGAACAACCACCAACATGCGTCTTTTAAGACGTGAATGGGCCTTTTATGGGTGCGAACCGTGAAACCTGGGTCACAGAAACGAAGTCGAGACTAATTGGTAATTATCCTTGGAGAAGTGTTATAAATCGACAAACTCTTCTTGTTTATGCCGTTTTTACCGAGACCCGTCGAACAACAATGAATAGAAAAGTCAAACCGAACAAGGTTGATATCGAAAGAAAACTTTAATTTGCCAGTTTTAATTGTTATTTTGTCCAGAAAGTTGACAAGTAAGTAACATTTTCGGAAGTAATGGCGGAATCTTTGCCTCGCTGTTTCCTGGGTGGGTAAATATTATCTGTACTTTTTGCACCTCGATGTCATTGATTAAAGTTAATCGACTTTGTTAAGAATAACTGTAAATGAAGACGGGCAAAGTTTAAAGTTTTAATGTTTATCTTTAATTTGAGTTACTAAATGTTTGTGAGATAAGCCATATGTCGTTTCCCCTGTAAAAAGAAAAAGTAAAGCACAGGTGTTAAATCAGCAAAATGTGTCGGTGGTAGTCATATAGATTAAAAAATGTTCATCGAAAGGACTAAGCAGCTTGTTTAATGGCAACGATCACTTGCAGTTTTATCATGATTATACTCAAAAGTGAAGCAGGTTTCATGTTTCCTACGATTACTTTCTTTTCTGAGTTGTAAGTTGGTGAATAATAATGGTCAGTTCGAAATACATCCTAACGGAAAATTGACGATTAACTCCTCCGGAAAGCTGCGACCCCTT